TTTGGAAGTTGGCTGTTAGAAGTGCTGTATAGTGATCAGCATGAGCTATTGTAAGTTTTGCAAACTTTGTGTACCGGACTGTTTGTATGATTATGGATTATGTTATTTGGATTATCCCTTAACTGAAAGACATTGATGACTGACTATATTATCCGTGTATGACATGGACTGTTTGATGGACTCTGATACTTCTATTTCCATGAAAGTAAAAGCCTATTTAAACTGCAGTGTCTCTGTATGCTGGTTTGTGTATTCTCCAACACAACTCTCACAATGCTTCTCTGAACTAATTCGCTCTCCCAACAGGGAGCTTACCTAACAGGTACCAAGTGCCAAAACGGGAGCGCACGTGCAGGGGGGAGCACCGGAAACAGGAAGATCAGTTCCTCTTTCTGAGCTTCCAGTTTCTGGCGTGCGCATGTCCGTGGGTCACCTGGTCTTCCGGTTTTTGCCATGTACGCACAGGCAAGCACCAGCTGGTTGGTGCTCATGTGCCTGCCGGAAACCGGACGCTCAGCTTCCTGGCATGCGCATGCGCGCCAGGGAGCTGCTCTTCCAGTCTCCGGTGCTCCCATGCATGCGAAGACCGAACCCGGAAGAGAAATAGGTGACAGCTGGCGTGCCCGGAGAGATGGCGCTGCACACCACTTCCAGCACACATGCATTAACAGATTAACAGAGTTGGAAGGTACCTTGCAGGTCATCTAGTCCAACCCCCTGCCCAAGCAGGAGACCCTACAATTGAACTCACAACCTGATTGTGAGGTGAGAACTCCACCTCTAGGCCACAGCAGCCATAGATTCCCCATCACGGTTCTAAATGCTAAGGTTGAAAAACCCTGCTGTACCTATATATTGTATATTCTTACATGCTTGGTTGTGGGAGAAATATTGTGGATATTCAGAAACCAAGGGCGAATGTATTCAGAAAGCATCCATGTTTGATCAAAATCTGATCTCTTTTTATGCATGACCAACATCTGACCTCTTTTAGTACTCATGATGGATAATGGACTTAATGAAGGTTATGATGGATACTCAACTTAATGTCAAAGGCATTGTTTTGCAAAAGCATTAGGCCTCAGCCAGCTGGTTTTCATCAATCTTTGCACACAATATACTTTCAAGTTTAGAAAACAATGCAGGTGGGACTTGAATTGTTTGAGGGCAGTTTTGATAATAGAAGGTCTTGTCATAATTCTTGCTACTTTTATTTATTGTTCATAGTATGATTCCCCCCCGCCCCCGGGGGATTTTTGGCACATTGTTGTTTTAGTTCACTTTACCTCAGTGTCATGTTTTTGCATGCATTATGTGCTGAAACACCGGTATATACGTCATTAGTCTGAACATCTATATATATAAAAATGGCTCTGTGTGGGTTTGTTCCAGCATAACTCTGGAATGCCTCAAGCAATTTCAACTAAACTTGGTACACAGATGACTTACCCTCTGGAAACAAATACTGTGGGGGTAGGACACCCCTTAAACCCCTCGGGGGGAGGTATTCTGTTAAGATACAGCCTGTTGTGCCTTAAAATGGCTTCCACTGTACTGCCTTAAAATGGCTTCTACTGTGCAGCGAAGTGGAGTTGCCATAGTAACGGATTCACAGTACTCCACAAGGGGGCTCCCTCTGGTAAGGGTGAAAACCCAACATTAGAAATCACGTTTGGTCCAGACATTTTCCCCCTATAAATAAATAAATACCTGGGCAATGCCAGGTTATCAACTTGTTTATCAAATTTTTCATTTAGCTCACTATCCATCATGTGCTGTAAAAAGAGTTCATTTGTTGGTCCAGGCTGCAAAGAGGTTATACAGGTAGTCCTGGACTTACAACCATTCATTTAACAACCGCTCAATGTTATGTTAGCACTGAAAACAGAGACTTGCAATTGGTCCTTACACTTATGACTGCTGTAGCATTTCCATGGTCATCTGAGCAAAATTCAGGCACGTGGTAAATCCACCCGTAAAGGTAATCCTCGACGTACGACCACAACTGAGCCCAAAATTTCTGTTGTTAAGTGAGACATTTGTTAGGTGAGTTTTGCCCCATCTTACGACCTTTCTTGACAGCGTTCTTAAGTGAATCACTGCAGCTGCTAAGTTACTAGCAAGGTTGTTAAGTGAATCTGGCTTCCCCATTGACTTTGCTTGTCAGAAGGTCGCAAAAGCGGATCGCATGACCCCGGGACACTGCGACGGTCATAAATACGAGCCAGTTGCCAAGTGTCTGAATTTTGGTCGTATGATCATGGGGATGCTGCAACAGTCGTAAGTGTGAAAAACCAACATAACTCACGTTTTTTGCAGCGCCCCTGTAACTTTGAACGGTCACTAAACAAAGCATTGTAAGTCGAGGACTACCTGTATTTGCGACCGTTTCAGGGATCCACATGATCACCATTTACGACCGTCCCTGGCAAGCAGTCAATGAGGGGACCTGGATTTGCTTAAAGACCATATGGTTCACTTAACAACCATAGCGATTTGTTTAATAACCATGGCAAAAATGTTTTAAAATTGGGGTGTGACTCATTTAACAACCACCTGGCTTAGCCATGTAAATTCTGGGCCCAACTGCGAACCTTGTATTCGTTCTGGTTTTGCTCGCCTTTGGTTTCTAAATATGAGAAGAAAACTTCCAACAGCCAGCAGGAGTGATTAAAAATCATGGCTCTCCCGTTCCAGAAGAGAATTTCCCTACCTTAACTCCTCCTGTTGAAAGTCCTGGTTTTCGCCATTCCTGAAGAGAAAACACACTTTTAAAAATAATTATAGAACACGAGAGAATAAATAGAATAGAAATAAGGAATAAAAATAAGGGACAGAATAGGAATGGAATAGAAAATAGAATAGAATTAAGGAATAGAATAAGAATAGAATAGAAATAGGAAAGGAATAAAATAGAAAAGAAACAAGGAATAAAATAAATAGAACAGAATAAAAAGAATAGAACAGAATAGAAATAAGGAATACAAATAAGGAACAGAATAGGAATGGAATAGAAAATAGAATAGAATTAAGGAATAGAATAAGAATAGAAATAAGGACTAGAATAGGAATAGGAATGGAATTGAATAGAATAAGAAATAAGAATAAGAAATAAGGAATAGAATAAGAATAGAATAGAACAGAATGGAATAAATAGAATAGAATAGACATAAGGAATAAAAATAAGGAATAGAATAATAGAATAGAATAAAATAGAAATAAGGAATAGAACAGGAATAAAATAAGAACAGAATAGAATAAAGTAAATAGAATAGAATAAGAAATAAGGAATAGAAATAGAATAAAATTCTTTATTGCCCAAGAGTGATTGGACACACAAGGAATTTGCCTTCGGTGCACAAGGTCTCAGGGTACATAAAAGCTATAAGTGATCATAGTCATCATAAAATTACATTTATCATAAATCATAAGATACAGCATCCCCTAGGCCAAAAACGCAGAAGACCCTGTGATTTTTCTCAATTTAGTTCTTACAGAATAGCATTTCAAACCTTTTACCCAGGAGCCATTGATTTTCTGACTCATAAAATAGCTTTTTGACTCATAAAATATGCTGGGAGCTCATTAGGTTTCGTTTCTTCACTCATCCAGCAAAAGTAAATTGTGTTTCTCTTTCCTAGATTTTTCTTGCAAGTTTTACTTTCCATTTCCACTGGAGCATTCAGTTTAGTTTCACTTTAGTTGTTATTTATTGTTTCATACCAGAATTTTTAGTTATATATTTACTGAGGGGTTGTTTTTTTTTTTGTTCTGGTCTCTGACTGTAATAAACTGAATAAAAATAAAACATAATTGGAGTAAACAGAACATGAATTTTCTTCCTGAATCTTAGAATTTGCATGAAAAGGGACAAAATTGTCTGAAAAAGGAAAAATAAAAATAAAAGATATCTGCTGGGGTTATTGTTATTTTTTTTTTTGACCGCCAACTAGTTTTAGCGTTGTTTTGAATTGTTCCTAAACATGGTGAGAAATGCTGTAGAAGCAGAACTGAGGCCCAAATTTCCATTGTTAAGTGAGTTTTGCCCCATTTTGTTAAGTGAGACATTTATTAGAAGTGAGTCTTGCCCCATGTTACCTTTCTTGCCATTGTTGTTAAATGAATCATCGAAGTTAAGTTAGTAACATGGTTATTAAGCGAATCTGGCATTTGTTAAATGAGTTTTACCCCATTTTACGACCTTCGTCATAGATGTTAAGTGAATCACTGCAGTTCTTAAGTTAGTAACATGGTTGTTAAGTGAATCCGGCTTTCCCGTTGACTTCGCTTGTCAGAAGGTTGCAAAAGGGGATCACGACCCCGGGACACTGCAACCGTCATAAGTATGAGTCTGTCGCCAAACATTGAAATTTTGATCATGGGACCACGGGGGTTGCTGCAACGGTTGTTAAGTGAAAAATGGTCATAAATCACTTTTTTTGCACTGCTGGTTGTAACTTTGAATGGTCACTAAATGAATTGTTGTAAGTCGAGGACTACCTGTATTTCATTACCCGGTTAGGTAAGATCACAGCATTGGAAACCACCAAGCTGAGAGCGCATCAAGGACCCCCACATGGATGCATTCATTAAATTTATAGGATTACCTATGTGACTGTAAACCAATCAAATTAAACACCCATTATACAAAGAACAACCAGTTTAAAAACAATAAGACGATCATAATTAAAAATTAAAGTACTATTAAAAATGAAAATATACAACCCAAAAGGCAAGAAGAAAATAATAGACCAAACACAACAGTGGAGAAATGGTTCTCGTTCCCTGGGACCCCTGTGGGCTTGTGACATAACCAGATCTTGAGGGTCTTCAGGAATATCAAGAGGGATGGATCTAATTGAAGGGAGGGGGGGGATGTTCGGTAAAATGGGGGGGGGGGGGGGGGTTTGGGGAAAAAGGGGGGGGGGGGGGGGGCAGCAGAGAAGGCCTGCCTCCTGGGACCCCCTTAAATGTTAGTCCCCCGCAGATGCTATTTACAACTTGTCTTCTCTGCCAG